TGCTCCCACTGGGAACCCCTGCCAGGACTGGGGTTCCTCGCTGCACTAAGGAAGTGTTAAGATTTTAATGTCAGAAGAAAATAAGTCTCATTTTTGGTGCTTCCCATTCCTCACCTCCCCTTCGCCGGGGTGTGACAGCCGGGGCCGGGGCAGGCGTAAGGGCTTCACGGCCTCTAGTGGGCAATGGCCAGAGCTGCAGGACTTCCAGGCACTTCCATGGAAAACTGTGGCTTTTGTAGCTGGGGATGTGTTTACCGCGGTTTCCCATGGATACAAGGCTGGTGCAAATAGTGTCTGTGCGCGCCGCCTCCACGCCCGGCTCCGGAGCCTGATTCCAGGCTGGATTGACAGAGCCGCGGGGATGTCACACCCAGCGCCTCCAGTTTGTGTCAATAGGTGTGCCTGCAGCAAGGGGGGCTTTGTGTTTTCCAGCAGCAAGATTATCATCCTACAACTTCACACAGTACAAAGCACCAAAAATAATGGCATCGGAGAGGGTTTGCGTGTATGGGAAAAGCTGCTTTGAAATCCCTTGTGAGTCACGTTTGTACACGTGCCCATAGAAATCCTGACCTTTAATTTTGTTTGATAATTTGGTTACTGGGGACTTTAAAAACACATCTTTTCCATGACACTGTCAGATAGTCCTGCTAGGAAGAGAGAGGGGAGACTCCAGGTTGCTGGGACTACCCAGACCATCACAGCACACTGCCTGCTTTGTTGCTTATAAACCTAAACTGGTGCTTGAAAGACCCAAATCTTGTCTTTTATTTCTTTCTGTTTATAGCTTCCCTATTTAGACTGGTTTATTACAGCAATGATTAAATATAGCAAATTAAAATGAAGCTCAGAGATGGATTCTTCATCAGAGTTCAGTGAAGCACTTTCCATATGTCAGTAGGAGCAAAAGAATTAATTTAGACCATTTAAAACTTTCCAGCAAAGTGGCTGTACACGTGATACCTTTTCTTTTCTTTGTTTTTGCTTAACTGAATTAAAGATGGGAGAAAAGATATGGCTGGACTGCAAGCTCACTTTGGGTTAATCCAACAAGCAGTCCTCCAAGTGAACAAATGGAAATGTGTTGTCTCCTTAATCATGTCTTGCTTCTTGCAACATTTTTGTTTGAAAACCTCTTTCTCAAGTCACAGGTTGAATGTCTCGGTTTACTTAGAGCATCGAGAAATATTTTTTAAATATAGTGAAACGGATTTAGATTGAAGTTGTAGGAAGTTGATCTGAAAGTGTTACTGAAGTGGTTAGGATAGGATTTTCATTTTAGAAGCACTTATTTCTCATGTGTTGCAAACAGTTGAAATGGCAGAATTACTGGTAATGACTTTTCTGAGTTCATACCACAAATGCCAAGCCTGCAAAGACCGAAAATGACTCACATGGAACCATTCTGCTTTGTCCTTGGTTACAGAGTATCTCACAGAGCTTTTTTTTACCCTCTCATTTTTCCTAGAAGTGATTTTTGAAAACCACAGTGCGGCCTTTTAGTGCTAGCAAGTCTTTGTTGCTTTTGCCAAGAGAGTTAGAGGAGGACAAGACCAAGTGTGGCATCATTCACCAAGTGTGGTATGCAGAAAGAGGTCTAATTGGGACCATCTTAGGAGGTAGTATTGTAAGTTAAATCAAATATTGCTGTCTCTGACTCTTCTGAAAAATCCTTTCTTTCTGTTCCCTAGCACTAGTGCTCTTCAATTCTAATACCCAGTAGTGGCCTCTGCCTTGGCTGCATTGGTTGTAAATGATAGTCTCACATGTCTGGGTACCTTCCCAGCACTGACATATATAATCAAGATTCTTATATCAAATCTCACTTTGCAGGAAATTACTTTGGGAGAATCCATCATCTTCTTTGCCCAAAGCTGCATAATGTACTGCCAGTTTTTGTTTTTCTTTCATTTTTCCCCCTCTGTAAATCATGCTAAAAGATCTGAAGGATGATGGTAATAGAAATATGATTAGTAAAGTTTTTTGTGCATGTGTGTGTTGAAAGAAAATGAATTTGTCAATAGCATAACTGACCAAAGAACCAAATGTTAGATTTTTTTATTTCTGAAAGGTCAGGAAGACAATATTTCATACCTCAGTCATGCTGAATTTTGCTCAAAAAGAATCTTTGCATGTTTAAAAAATAAATTTTATGTCATGAAATAGTCACCAACCAGACTCATTTGCTTTCTCTTCAGTCAGTGTGAGGATGAGAGAATCACACACTGAGGGGCATTGCTTACATGGAGATTTCATGCCCATTCCCCCAAGTGTTTGTTCAAAACCTCTGATATCTTGATTATGGCCTGTTAAGCTCCAGAGACGCTCCTCAGATGAGTTGTCAGTGTGTATTTTTTTCTGCTGATGTTTGAGGCAGAGCTGTGCAGAAAAACTTTGTCTTTTCTTCCTGACAATTTTCTCCTGTGGTAAGAAGTACTGTTCTAAATTTTAACAAATCCCACCTTAAAATCTCTGGGAAATGCATGGTACTCTGTGAGAGGTGTGAGTGGAGCTGGTTTTGTTGCAGGAGGTCTTATGTATATGGATGTGTTGTGAAAACTTCATGCTTTCAGTGGACGTGAAAGAGGAGGTGCTGGGACATTTGTTTCCTCCCAAGCTCCAGTCTGCAGTAGCAAAGGTAGTAAAAATCTTGTACCAGGAGAGCTACTTTATGGAAATTCTGCTGATCTGTTTTCTTAAGTATGGCTATGAATTATATGAAATATGGTTGAGTTGCCATAGGGTATTTAAGGCCTAACATCCTTCACTCAACAAATACGCTTTCTATAAGGGGCTTCCAGATGCTGGGAATGTCCTGGCGTAATTTTTAAATGCCTGCGTTTAGGTGCTGTTATTTATTTCTGATCTGGAAATGTATTTTGGTCAGGCCTTAAGAAAATTAGTATCAGTAGCACATCAACTTGGAGATTCCATATATCCTATGGAATTGCCTTGATATATTTGACATAGTCTCAGATCCCGCTTGCTCATAAAGAGATGTTTGGGAAGATAGCAGTCTAGTCAGATAAATTACCTGAAATAGTTACAGACCTGGCATTGAGATATGACGGTGATAAATCTATGCTTAGTGCTGTGACATAGTCAGCTGCCATAACTACAGCTGATATGAGAGACAAGAAATTTCACCCTGGGCAGTGACCATACCTGTTACAGAAACTTCAGCAGTCCCACTAGAGCAGCATTTGGAAGGAGGCCCTTGAAGTCTCAGGCTGTACAGGATGTGTTCTCTGCCTTTTACTGCTCCCTAAGCCAGTGGTGCTCTAGCGCTTGGCTGGGTATTTGTGGAACACTCTGTTTCCATATGTATTAGTGCTCGAAACCATTAAGTGTTCCACAGCTCTTTTACAAGAGGAGTAATTACATCCTGTTGGCAGAAATTACTCCTGCTGTTTAATTTGGAAACCATATTCTTTGCTTCCAGCCTTGTGTTGTTACACAGCAAAGAGTGGCTGCATTTTCTGCCCAGGGTGGTGGCACTTCTCTCTGACATGTGTATGGGGGATGATAGCAATGGTGGTGCTGTCCCTCAGGATGACATTTCAGGTTTGTCTGTGAACAAGATAATTTTAAATGCTGCAGGCATATAGTTTCAGAAATCCAACTTTTATTCATAGCAACAAAAATATCTTTTCTAGTTCTCATTTTCCTGCACAAGGGATGCTGGGTCAGCCCCTGGGTGCATTGGGTCTTGAGGCAAATGCTGATGCTGAACTTTTCTCTCTTACTCTGTCCTTTTAAAGCCTTTTATGTACAGAAGGAAACTAGCACTGCAGATGATTATTGTCTACTAATGGTGTTTTTAATTACTGATTTTTTCAGGACACCCAATTAACTTTCTGCTGAAAACAATAATTTTTTTCCTCCCTTGAAGCAAGTCAGTGATTCATATTTTAATATAAACTTCTTAAAGTTTTGACTCATGCAGCAATTCCAAGAATTTTTATTTCTGAACTCTTTGAAGCATTTTAACACAGTAATGAAATACTGTGCCTGTGTCACCCACAAAGTGAACTTCATGTTAAACGGGGATTGCTGTCACTGAAGCATGGCAAGTGCCACTTTTGGAGCCTTTGCCATGCCTGGTCACACAGGGTCCCCTTGGTGGGAGCGAACAGCCAACCTGTCCCAGACCCAGCCTGCAGGGGCACAGGGGAGAGGGGGAGGTGACATTGAGTGGTACTGCTGGTCCTTGGGAAGGGAAAAATACTGAGAAACACTGCTGTAGGGTGTTTGGAATCAGGATGGAGTTTATCACTTCAACCAAACCAAAGGGAATTGTGTTGTGCCAGGCTCCGGGAGCCCCTGCTTTGCCCGTAGACAAGTGGGAGATCAGCATCCTTTGGTTGCATGATGAGTAAAGCAGAGAGGCACTGCTTGGCTTTCCTAAGTGAGACTCGAGCTGCAGAGTCCAGAGCTGAAAAACATTTATGTTGGCTATTAAAGGGAACACATGTGACACAGAGATATGCCATGTTAACTCCAGAGATTTTCCAGCAGAAGAAAGACTAAATGAGGACCAAGTATAAATGAGAGAAGTTTTTCTGAAAAGTAAGTTAGGCAATGCATATTTTGATTCTTCAAAGAATGTGTTTGATATTAAAATGCAAAAGTGTATGGCTTTCTCATCAGGTGGAGATAGCACAACTGTCCTGCTTTACGTAACAACCACAATACTAAATGAATGACAAATAGTTCAGGATCTCTGGGAAATGGCAGTCAGAGGCAAGAGCATCTACTGCACGAAAACTGCTCAGGAGAAAATCTCCACTTAACATGTTACTATTGCAGTTTTCTGGTTTAGATAGGAAGTTTTCAATTTGGTTTTTTATTTTGACTTTATGTCAAAATATCAATTTTGATGCACAGTTTCAAGTAGTAATAACCCAGTGTTATTTTTCCTTTCCCCCTTTTCTTCTTGCTGAAAGTGATGCAGCACTTTATGTTCTCTAAACTCTATAACTTATCAAATTCCATCATCTTTAGGAAAAAATATGAGCGTGTTTCTAGGGGAAACCTGGAAGCAGGGTTTGCCCATTCCTGATAGCACAGCGGAAAACCTTAGCCTCAAGTTCTCCTCCAGAATCTGTCAGGATTAGCAGAGGACATGGAATAGGAAAGTGGGATGAAAGGAAGGGGTCATGCAGTGGGGCACTGGCTCCACGTGCCGTTTCTCTGCAGTCAGCTCAGTTTGCAGTTGTACCGTGGTTATCAGTGGCGTGGTAGTGTGATTAGGGAGCAGCAGCAGGAAATGCTGGCAGAATCTGGGAGGCTGGCGGTTGGGAGCAACAGAGGAGATCAAAGGCTTGAGTGCGTTTGCCGACTGGAGAATAATTGCAAGTCACTCCCAAAATGTGGGCTGGCAGTGCAGCATGGCCATCGGCTCTGTCTGTGTTCCCATGGAAGAGGTGAGTACATGGCACAGGGGGGCACATCTGCATTGCTGCACTCAGTTCTCATTCCCCGTGGTCCAGCTTCCATTCATTCAGCTTGTATCAGGGGATTCAGAAAAGCTGTTAGAGGGGAAATGGCTTGTTTTAGCAAAGGAGACTGAAACAGGGCTGTGCTCGGGATCAAAGATCTCCTGGCCAGTCTTGTTCCCTTCAACTGGATGGTGAAAACTAATGAGGCAAACTTGAGCTGGAGGACCCAAGTATATCTTAGCTGTGGAGAAGTTTCAGCTGAAAATTGATGTTCAGACTATCAGAGAAGGAAGGCTGCAGAGCAGTGATGCAGCAGATCTGTAGGCAGACACAAGTGCTTATCTTCATAGATAAGCATCTTCACCTTGCTCATCTTTCCATCAGTGTCCTCATACCTGTTCTTCTCAAAGAACTCGAGGCTTTCCCACGTTTGTCTAGTGTCTCATGCATTCTGTCTTAGCAAAGCAAAATCTGACAGTAAGAAGAAATAATGTGTTCTTGAGTACCTTAGTTTTAAGATGCAATAGGCAAGGTTTTTGGTAAGTCTATTTACCACTATTTACCACTATTATAGGCAAATACACTACAGTCAGAGTGCCTTTAAACTGTTAAAAGTTTTCCCCAGACAGCCTCATGGTAGAAGACTTGACATATTAAATATTTACAATTCCTATAAAGAGCTCAGGGCCAAGCCAACACGGCTATCGTGGTTGCATGGAGAAGTCTGAGCTCTTCTAGTCACAAGTCACTGGGGGAAAATGGCAAGTCATTTATTTCTTCTTTTTCCCCTTCCCTGTTTAGTTATGGGGAGCTGAGACCATTTATGAGTTTGGTGTGCCAGCAGGGTCTCAGCAAATCTCACAACCATTTCCAGGTGAGATGGAAGTGAGGGCTGCACAACAGTGACAGGAGGAACAATCCTGCTGTCCTTCATCCCTGGGACAACGTCTGCACTACCAAACAAGGGACAGTGAAGGATTCCACAGCCAGAGAACACAGACGGACTCATGTTCACACTGCTTAGGAAGAAGTTGGTAGAAGTGGTCCAAAACAGGGACCAGCAATGCAATGTTTCCTGGGACCTGAGCTCATTCCATAGCCTTAGGTTCAGCCATACTGGGCTGCTGTAGGGCTGTGTTCACAATTAGCAAGTAGTGTGGACCAATACAAGACTTGCAGAGAGAAAAAGTCCTGATGAACCATCATCTATGCTGCCACATTTTGCTGCCTTATTGGGATTTTACTCTAGTTTAAGCCTGTGAACTGAACACTCACTTATGGTAGCAGCAGATCTTCCCTTTCATTCCCAAAGAACTCAGTTCACTTTCTGGAACTAAAGCAATGGAGGATGATGTAGCATAAATATATTTCTTTCCACCTACACCAAATTATTTTTCTTGTTATTCAAGTGATGTTCAGCAATCTCAGGGCAGAGAAAGAGCAAATTTTGACCTGTGTACCATAAATATTACTCCAGACATTAAACAAAATTCTCTGTAAAAGTCCTTGGAAGATCTCCATCCATATAGTGCATGTCACACCATGGTATTGAGTATTTAATCTCTTTGGAAACCTTTGGTAGAGATTCAAAATTCTGTTATTATTCAAGTGGATGCATCCTACTGATGGGTCTCGTTTATGGATTTCCAAGTACACTTTAAAGGTCAAACGAGTAATTTTAATCGGTTATGTGGGGTTTTTTTGACAGCTGATAAGTACTGAATGTACCACAGCACCTGGAAAGCAGATTTGCTATATTTACCATTGCATATTTGGATTGGGTGCAGGGATAGTGCTCTGCCCACGCTCATTTCACTCTCCATCATCAAATTACTGGCACTGATCAACCAGCGCATCCACAGGAGAGCAGTGTCTTGCAGCACTTCAGATTTGAGTCACAGCTTGGACAGGGGCCCAGGACCTGTGTCTTATGGCTGCTGGTTAAGAGAGTAGTGGCTGCATCAGAGTGGTGTTGTCCTTGGCTCAGAGCATTCCTGGCTACTTAATCCATACTGCTTTCTCCCGGGCTGCCAGGATAGTAAGCATTTTGAAATTATTCTGGTGTGGTTGTTCTGAAATTCTTGTTTGCAGGTCACTCATGCCATGGTGGTAGAGATCACAAGGTGACAACAGAGTGTCCTCACTCACTGTCTGCAGAACTGAAAGCAAAGAGAGTGAGAATATTTTCAACAATATCAGTCATGGACTGGGAGCAAGGCTTGAGCTTGGGTGCTGTGGCATCAGCTTCTACCAGGTGAACTAAAGGGCTGGCTGCAGTGCTTATGGGAGCCACAGTACCTATGGCAATGAGCAGAAAGGCTGACCAGCCCCAGAATGAAACAGAGGAGATTCTTCAGCTTAGGGAAAAAAGACACTCAAATTGGATCTGACAGAAACCCACAAAGTCATCTATCATGTGGAAAAACTGAACTTGGGAGAATTGTGGGGCATGTAATGAAGTGGTTAGGGAATAAATAGACAAAAGTGCTTTTTTTGGTGTTTTTCCACTGCATTTTTGGAACACGGTAGGGTAGAGTGAACGAGACTCAAAAAGGGATGAGATTCACTCAAGGAAGACTAGTGATGTAGTAGTCCAGCTCCAGCAGCTGGCAGGAGAAGCCCACGGGTCCCAGGTTGCTGGGAGTTGAGTGGCACAGTTGGGGAAGAGCTGCTGTTGGCTCATGCTGCTCTTGCACACTTCCCTGATCAAAACCCGAGGAGTTCTTCATCAAGACTACAGCAGCAGCTCAGCTGCTCTTCAGTGTGGGCAGCAGTCAGGGGAACTCATGGGCCACCAGGACACAGGCAGCTGTTAGTAAGGAAGGAGCTGGTTTTAGCCCTGGAAACACTAAGCTGGGATGCAGCTCTCACCATAGAAAAGCCCTAGAGAAAACACCAGGATTTTGCAGCCCATTCAGACTGTATCCAGATCTGCCCAGTCGTTTTTTATTTCCACAGCACAGTTTCTTAAGAAGATCTGGAGGGTGGAGGATTAGAACATTTAACAGTTTACAAAAACTCGGCTCTGTTTTGCTGTTTTCATGGGAACAAAGTTCGTAGTGCTGGTTTTATGGTAACACCTTGCTTTTATACTCCACGCTTTGTTTAACATGGTAATGAGCTCCGTGCTGTGTAGTGCACTTAGTGCTGTGCAGAAAATAAAAGTATTTCCTGCCCACACTTCAGAAGAACTGCTGTGATGGTAAAGTCTCTTTCAAGCTTAGGGCTGCTAGCCTAAACAGTGAGTACACTGGGCTAGTCTGTCAGAAAGCTCTGTATTGCAAATGTAAATTTATCTTTGTAAGAATGATAAGCTCCTGTCCAGAACACTGCACTATATAAAGCAGATCAACGAGGCAGGAGGTTTTACCATATCCCCCACCCCCGGAACAGAGAAGAGTTTTGTATTACATTAATCAGCATCTAAGCCCTGAAGGTCACAATTATCTGGCCACTATTTTTCAGTATTAGTGATTTTAGTACATGATTAACTTTCATGTGTGCATCATTAAGATGAGGAATTGTTTTTGAAGTTTCAAATAGAGCAGCAGGTCTTAGCTGTAGTATTTGCCATACTTGCTCAGCCACTCTTAAAAGGGATGATTTATAGAAAATCCAGCTGTGAGTTTTCGTTTCTTCAAGAGCAGGAGGCGGGACTAGAAACCAACCTAAAACCAAGCGGAGCATTGATCAGAGTAGAAATGATGTAGAGCACAGCTCTGCAGACAACAGCTAAGCATCGTGGAAGTATTAGCTGGCAGCGATAAGGAGGCGGAAGCAGAGCTCGGTGACAGAGGAGCCATCTGTCAGGAACTGGGAATCCGATTTCAAGAGAGCAGAAAATGAAGTAAAGAAGAAAGTGATTTTGGTTCAGAGGTGCAGTGGAGCCCAAGGATATCTGTGGACAGTAAGTTTCTATACTGGAACAGGGATGTTTAATACAGCAGCTAATACAGTTTGAAAGGGCTTTTCAGCTTTGAGAACAGAGAACAGACATAAGTAGCCCCTGTTTTAAGTAGCTTTTACTTAAAGTTTTAATTTATTTGTAGGATGTAAATAAGCTTATCTGTTTGAGGTGGCTTGTTTAAAAACTTGTAAACAAACTTTAAAACTGCTGGTGTCCCTTACTTCAGAGGGTGTTTTTTTGTTTAATAAGATCACCTCCTGGCGAGGATAAGATTTGTTCATAACCTTTCAGAAAAATATCTTAGAATAAAAGACTGTTTTGGCCCCAGCTGCGAGGTGAAAAAGGGTAGGCAAGAATATTTTTTCTGGAAAGGGGAAAGGAGTTCCCACCCAAATAGATCTAAACTAACTGGAACTACAGTGTATAAACACCCCGGGGCTAAATCTTACCCTCAGCTACACTGTTGTAAGTCAGGTTTAAGTCTACTGTAGTTAATAAAATTACTCCTGATTTAATTAAGGATAGAATTTGGTTGCACATTTCTTAATAATGAAAAAGCCCCATGGTTCTTTCCAAAGTGCATTTTATGTTAACAGATTATTAAGGACTTGCTTGAAAATACGTTAAAATTAATTGAAAATTCACACTGTGATGCATCTTTTGTCATATACTTGTATCCTTCCTTGAAATTAGCACAAAAGCCAGCATGAGATATTGTAAGCAATCCTGTTGTTTCTTGCTAGCAGGTTCTCAGATAAGGTTTGCATTGCTCATAATTTCATGCTCATTTCACTTCAGTGGCTTGTATTTGGGGTGATATGCTTTAATCCTAAAAGGTTTGTGGAGCTCCAGCTGGGAGTGATAAGATGATATTATCTGTAGCAGAAAAGTGTCAAAGTTCTATACAAGACCCCATACTATCTGATCAAGAGTTAAACTGTTCTATCACAAATTGTACAGAAAAATTACTCTTGTTGCTGTAATTTTAGTGTGCGAGTTAGAAGCAGAAGCATTGGCTGCTGACTGAGAAAAAAAAAAACAAAAAGTAAAACCCACTCACTATTATGGCCCAATATGGATGACAAAACACTGTAGCATGTGTGGGAAAATGGCTGCAGTCCAATGTCTGGAACCATTTATCTTCTGGTAGAGTCTGGAAGATGACTGTTTTATGTATTTTACAGAAATCCCTGCTGATTGATTTCATTTACTTACGAGGAGGGGTCACGGTGACTGATGGCAGGGACAACTGTGGCAAAAAGTGAATTCTTTGCATTATCCTGACATCCTGTTCTGGTTGGGGTTATTGGCACCTTTTGAAGGATCCATGATGGACATGACTTGCTGCTGCATTTGCTACTGCACACATCCAGAGGTTCGCTGCTTTTTTCTGGGTCTCAGCAAGCTGAGAATTGCAAGTTGTGCTTCCACTAGTGCCAGGCACATTTTGGAAATTATGATTTGCAGAGGTTTGAAGGGGAAAGGACAGATGTGGGTACAGGTCTCTGTAACCTGCGAAAAGCTTGGCTGGTGGTGGGTGCTGTTACTGAAGAGGGAGGAAAGCCTTTGTGAAAGGTCTGGGGGGAAAGTCGGCTTTCAGTGTGTGAGGCTTGCAGAAACAGCTTGACTCTCTTTAGCACATGAGATTTGTATGCTACGGTGATAATACTGGTTTTTTTCTGACATTTATTGCTAAAATAGCCACAATTCCTGTCTTTTTTTTTTTATTTTTTTTTTTTATTTATATGGAATAAAGAGCTTGCCAAGCACATTAGAAACAACAGGGATATGCTGTATATCATTGTTATTAATTTATCTCTCTGTTATTTTTATGTGTGCTCTAACGGCCTGTCTGTCAAGGTGTTTGCCTTCAAATCAATTCAGCTCACATCACAGCATGACAGGCACTTGTTTTATACCAGGCATGTCTACAGGCATTTGCTTTCATGTTGCAGGGAATGAGTGCCAAGATTTTCGTATGATGAAACAAAAGGGTGGGGGATATGTTTTCTAGTCAGCAAGTAGTGCTGCTTACTAACACTGCTCCTGTGTTAACAAAAATGGAAAGGAAAATAGATATTTCAATTGACAATACTACTTCATTTGGTGCCTTTTAGGCTCTTCTCTTCTCAGGTCCTCTACAACAATTCCAAGTCCAATGCAGAATCACATAACAAACGTGGGGAAAGGGAAAATTATTGTGTGTCCCCCCATCACATCCAGTTTCCCAGACATAACCACTTAGTACAGTCAAGACATTTTTCATTGAGAAAGAAAGAAAGAAAGAAAGAAAGAAAGAAAGAAAGAAAGAAAGAAAGAAAGAAAGAAAGAAAGAAAGATTCTTGTAATGTACCCTAACTGTGAAAAAGTTTCCTATATTTACCAAGTATTTTTATCAGAGCAGTAGGAGCAGTTAAGCACTGTGCTTGAACAGTATCCCAAGAATAAACTCAGCATCACCTCTCTTCTGTACAGCATCCTGCCATGCACTATCATCCAGCCCACTCAGGTTCTTCAGTCTCACTGTTCCTCATGCTATCTTAATGTGCACTCGTTTTCTGTCTCTGTGTTTTGAGGGTGTTCTTATGGCTATTAGACATTTTGTTTTTACTCATATGTTGACCTCTGATTTGGATTTGTAAGTTTACAGGAATTTAGATTAATTGTAACCTTTTCTATTTTCTTAATTTCCTTCACTTCCTTTCCAGACACTACATGTTTTGGTTATCCTCCCACAGAACAGTTCCTTGTAGGCACCTTCACAGAGGCATAGCTACTTTTGCTCTTCATTAACTTAGTTTGAGCCTTTCCTGCTTTTTGGTATATCTAACTCAAGAGGACAGTGGGTAGTGCCATGGGTTCCAGGGGAAGGTATCAATTACCTTCCTTGTGTATGCTACTGAGCTGCCTGATGATCCAGAACTAATTTAGTGCCCCGGTTACTTTTTTAGATCTGTCTTTACCACGGGGTTCTTGATGGGATCTCTCATCCTTGAGAGAGAGTGCTGGTAAACAGATCCACTGTAAGTCCAGTGTCTCCCTTTAATCTTGAATTTAGTCAGGAGGGGAAAAGAGTAGTCTAAGGTGATGCAAGTTTGTTTTTCCATCCAATGGGAGTGCATTCTCCTAGTAATGTTTGAGGACTTTCAGCCTCTGATCATTCCTCTTCCATAAGGATTGGTGTGGTCAGGCTCCAGCCATTTAGTCTGCTGCCCATGCAGTCCCTACATTTTTGTTATTCAGCTCTTAAATCTCTTCATTACATGGAATCGTTTTTCATGTGGTCACCACAAAAGTGTGCAAGTTCTTACAAATAAAATATCTCAGACCATATTTTAGACATGTTGCATATTCTCCCATTTTTAAACAATTTTTGGCCATTCGTACTTTGTAATATGTAATTTGACAAGCATGGGGCGGGTGGTAGAGCTACAGCTGCCTCTTGTTTTCTTATCAGATATTGATAAAAACAGTAAATTAGATTAAAAAAAAAAAAAGAGCTCTGTAGGCCGTAGAACATTATGAAACCACCCACTGAATGTCTGCGTAAGACATACGGCAACAGCCAAGCTGTTATGTACTAGATGAGTTCAGAGTGGGGGACAACTGAATGCACTGCATAAGTGATTTACTTACTCATTTATAACCCTAACCTAGAATCATGACTGTTTGCTGTTCTGTAAAAAGGATGACTTTATGTGACCCTTTAAAGCCTTCAGCATTAAGTGGCATTAAGTTGATGGCTACTTGTTTTGTACCTTCGGTGAAAAATTACGCATAAATCAAGTAGGCTTTCCTTGTAATGCACTCATAATCCTCACAAGCAAAACTCCCACCCAAAACCAGTGATCAAACATGGTTTCTTGAACTCAGAAAGGTCACTTCATAAAAAAATATGGAGGTATAATATTCAGGCCACCCAGGCAATTTTTTTTTGGCTAGGACTTTAATTAAGTCATTGTAAGGTTAAAATAATAATAGGGTTCTGATGTAAGCAGATAAAAGGCAGAGAGGCTACATTAAATTCAGTTTCTATCCACCAAACACATCTAGAAGAGATAAGCTCACTTGCTATTTAAACATTTTGCACAGGGACAGACAGGATGGGCTGAGGTTGAGTCCTGAATGTTCCAGGGTTTATGTATTTAAATCAAGCCCTTAGTATTGTTTTTGTTCCTTAATTACCTCTGGTTTGTTGATTTATTGATGCTTTTGAAGGCAAGTAGATGCAGTAAAACAGAATCATTCTGTGTCACGTAAAATTTCCTCTTATATCTGTGGACCTTATAGACAAAAGGAAATGATTGAAGGAGAGAACTTCTGTGGAGATGGTAAAACCAGTGGTAGATGTCTCTAAAAGGTGGAATTGAGTTACTGAATTGCAAGTGAATGGAAGGTCTTGTGAAATCACTAATTAGGGCTGCCTCAGTTCTTGAAAACTGCCAGTGCAGCCAACACTTTAGGCAGAAGGAGCCTGGGAACCAGAAATCCTGCAGAAGGGGTTGGGAGAAGTGATGCTGAACTTACCTCATTCAGTGGGAAATGTTTCTTCCATTTGGGGGTGACTGTGTGGGAAATAGGAGCACTGTGTTCTTTAGCAATTGTTATACAGGCTTTGATCAGGGACTAAAGCTGCAAAAGTCAGTCCTTTGCCAGCCATGAGCATTGACGTGCCAATGAAAAATCACAAAATGGTCTCAACTGGCTTCGTTTCAGGAATTAGTTTCTTGGAGATTGAACCTTTACTTTTACTTTCTGCTGCCCATGTCCTTGGGGCCCCCATTTCTGTACCTAAACTCCAGTTCCAAAGAGAACCTCTGTGTCTTCTTTCCTAGCACAGCAGAGCATAGCATTGAAGCATTACTCTTTCTGTGTCTCTCCTGAGTCTGTGAACCCCATCTGGTACACCTAGAACAGGAGATGGGCCCTCACCTGTCATAGAAGAAGGGTGCAGTAGAATTACAGATGTATAGAATGGTTTGGGTTGGAAGGGACCTTAA